TCTCTATCCGACTGTTTAATTTTTCGTTGAGTCTGCTCCGAGTTTTTCCTGGCGATTGTAAGGACGTAAATTGACTGTAAATGAATTTCATTTGTCGCGAACGCTACAGGAAAACTGCGCAATCATAGCAGCATAGCAAGCTCCATTCGCCTTTTTACCAAAAAATTCCACAAATTCTGCTTTTAAAAATATTTTCACTGCATAGAAAAGCTAAGCATAGAAAAAAATTGGAACCTTGGTTCGTTCAAAAGATTCAACTGTATAAATAAATATTTGATCGATTAATTCATGGCCAAAACTGTTGAGGAGAAATCAGAGGAAGGGCACCAATAAGGGTTGGACGGAGACGAGAGACCAGCTGAACCGAGCCGCGGCCAGTGCGAAGGAGTCTCAGACCCGCACAAGGGGCTGCGGTTGGGGTCTAAACTGCATTTCACATTCCACGCAGGGTTTGAGAATACGCAATATGAGGTTGGGCAAGGGCCGCATGGGCTTTGGAAAATAGACGTTTCGTCGTTCCCTTTATTCCTGGGGAGATTTGCCATCTAGGAACCCCCCCCCTCCCACCAGTCGTCTTGTCCGCATAAGTTGTCACTTTGGGCCTTTCTTCAGAATTTGCAACAATAAGAAATTAAAAATAAAATATTAAAATGAAATACAATTACTCTGATGAACTTTACAGGACATTGTTTTAGGAAAGAGTCGGATTTTCTTTAAAAAGAAGGCAACTGCATACTTCAATTTGTTATATGCCTTCTTTCACAGGTTATCTGAAGTCGCCAGATAATGCTGAAATCAGCACTTTTCTTCATTTAAACCCATGTTAAATATTCACATTTTATGGCACAACCTGGCAACTTTGGATATATCTACTCGTTGTTTTATAGGTCATTCACACACTTATTTGTTAGTCGGCAATTCGAAAATAAAAAATCGGTTGCCATTTTTTGTGTCAGAGGGACGTGCGATATATCGCATCGATTTGTTCCATAATTTCAGCACCTCCTCATTTTTTCGAAATTTGAGATCGCACTTCTCTTGTCATGAGACTAAAGAATTCATGTACCAAAGACAAAGAAATTCGACGTATTGAAGATAGGGTTTTTTCAGAGGAAAAATATCGCATTCGAGAACACTTTCGATATCAGTATCGAGTGCGATATTTTTCCTCTAAAAACCCAGCCTTTATTACGTTGAATTTCTTTGTCAAATTTGGTACATGAATACTCTAGTCCCATGACAAGAGAAGTGCGATCTCAAAATTCGAAAAAATCGACAAGTGGCTGATATTATGGTACGAATTGATGCGATGTATCGCACGTCGCTCTGACACAAAAAATGGCAACCGTCAAATTACCTTAACCTCAAAGTCTTCTTCTTCTTTTCCTGTTAGTTTACTGGCGAATATTCCACATGTGGAACCTACAGCCATCTATAACCTCAAAGTCGTTCTGCCCCAAATCATAATAGGAGTTCTTCTGTTAAACTATAAGTTCATCAATAAAGTAAAACACTATTTTCATTTTTAAACCCCCCCCCCTCCCC